CAGTCACTATCCATATCAGGACGTCCTTCCAAAATAAGCATCTGGGCAAGCAGGAAACTGGTTAGGGATACCACAGTGAAGCCAAAAGTGGCTTTGAAAGATTTGCAAAGTTTCATGTCTGATATGGGAGTCAGTGTTCATAAATCGACAATATCTCGGCCTATATGGGTGAATGGCAAGAAAGAAGCCATGACTGAAAAATAATCATCTCATATCTAAAGCATGTAAATCATACTCAGACATGTGGCAGAAAGTTTTGTGATTAGACGAGACAAAAATTGAGCTTTTTGGTCTAAATTCAAAGCGTTATGTCTAGCGCAAGCCCAACACAGCACATCACCCAGTCAGCACCATCCCAACTGTCAAGTATGGTGGAGGCAGCATGATATTATGGGGATGCTTCTCATCAGCAGGGAATGGAAAGCTTATCAGGATTTAGGGGAATATGGATGGTACAAAGTACCGGTGAATCCTAGAGGAAAACCTGCTTGAATCAACCAAGAATCTAAAACTGGGTCGAAAATGTACATTTCACCAGGACAATGACCCGAAGAACAAGGCCGAAGCCACACTGACTTGAATCCAATTGATAATTGAAGATTGTAGTCCATCAACGATCCCCAACGAACTTGTTAGAATTGGAGCAATTTTGCCAGGAAGAATGGGCAAACATTACACCATCCCATTGTGCAAAGCTCGTAAAGACCTATCCAAAAAGATTGACAGTAGTAACTGCTTACAAAGGTTCTTTCACAAAGTACTGACTTAGGGGCTGAATACTTATGCAATTAGCAAATTTCAATTTATATATTTTCTTTGCGGGTTTTGCTGACATTCAACCTCCTTCACTCATAACAGTGTTAAGTTTGATCATTAGAGTTTTGAATTAAAACAAGTTCATTAAAAACATTGTTTACATTATTTGTATTTCATTAAAACGTGACATTATTAGTAGGGATGAATACTTTTACAAGGCACTATATGTATCAGAACTACATTTTGACAATGTTTGGCGTTACATGGGTATTGTGATGTTCCTGAACATTAATCAATTTTTGGAAAACAACCATTAACAACTCAAGATATTCATACACTCAGATAATAAAGATGTGTTTAGATCGAATATTTAGTTTTCAAGAGAGGTATCCCTTGAGCTTAATGCCATTGGAAAACAAAAAAATTATTTATCAACCTGGGGTACCAGAACCATCCAAAAAGAGACCCGCAATATGTCGTACCTCAGCCATGGTAAACAAATTGTAGCGTCTTATAACAAATGAGAATCTACGGACATATAAGTCAGTGGCCAAAACTGTCCACTTGCCCGAGGCAACAGTATGAAACATAATCAAGAAGGATATCTGTCTGAAAAAGCAACACAAGCCACATGTACACAAGTTACATTCAGGACATATTCACTCAACCACGGCATACCTTAAGTAGCTGGAGAATGAAATGGGTATTCATGCTATTTCGCACGAAGGCGGACCAGTAAATTCGCCAGACGCAATCAGTGCATATAAATTACTTTGCAACTAGACTGTTGAAATAGATATTAGATGGCTTATGGAAATCCTACAAGGAGGAGGGATGGGCTTCGGATATGAAAGTATTACGACGGAGTCTTTTGCAATGACACTTACCCTGCAAAAGAATTACCAAGGTGCTCGGTCGTCAGGTAGAGCATGATTGGATGTGGCGATATTGACATTAACAACGTAGTGAGGCTCCAAAGTCGTTTTAATATAACATAACAAACTTCTGTAATTCAGTGTTTCTAGAGAAACTTCTCTCCCCTCTTAACATGTAGTCTCCAACTTTGCACTCATGAAATTTCTTCTGTTTTACAGAGCCTCCTGCAACATCAAGTCAATCAGGTTAATGATATGCAAGTTCTCTAGTAACACCAAGCCTTCCCGCAATCACTGCCATGCCAATGTGTATGCGAATAATATATACAGCATTTGCAGAGTATCAAATAATTTTGGTATTGATTTTTAAATTTTTGCATAACATCAAGTCAAGATAATTATTGGTATAAATGTATTCAGAGAGCATCAAATTAACTTTTTATTCTGTTATTTGTAGTCTTCCACAACACAAAAACTCCCCTACGTCAATATGTGACTTTGTTTACCAATTTACAACTCTTTCATACAACCAAATTAAAAAAAAGTTTATTGATATATAGGAAGTCCATCCACACCAAAGCAGAATATGACCAGAATTATTCTCGCTAGCTGGTGGTTGGTGTGTATCGTCATTCTTTGTTTGTACAGTGGAAACATACTTGCGTTTTTGAGCATCAAGAAGATAGAATCTCCATTAGACAACATGAAAGAAGTTCATATGAAACCAAGAATTGGGGTCTTAGCCATTCCTGGTTCTCCTACATTTACGTTTATGTCGGTAGGTAAAAATTCATTAAAATGTATGTATCATTATTTTTATGTAAGTATCCAGGTTATTATTATTTCTTTACGTATATACAAGCTGAGGTAACCGTCCTTTGTTTGGGTTATGAACTTGAAAAAAATGTGGGAGTGGATGCTATGATAAATAACACAAAAATCCTAACTTTCACACATTTTATTTACAATATAACCTATTATTACAGTATTCATTATTATCTCATCAAAAGTTTTGTATAAGATTTAAGAACTCACTATACATATATATAAAACATGGTATACACTGTGCGATGGATAGGGTGACTTTGTAGGAAGAGATAGCGGCCAAAGTAGTGGTGGTAGGTGTGTTTTCCTCAACACCCAGCTCTTAATGTGCTTCCATATTTCACGTGATTGATTAATTGACGGTCATTGGCCGCACAATTGTCTTACGGATCGAAGTTGAAAGGTCATGGGTCAAAGTAGAAAGTGGGCATAACTCAAGAAACGGCTCTTCATATCAGCTATATTGTGGCTCTTGGAGTAGAAACTTTAGTCGAATTTATGTATTATTACAATACTGGTGACCATTATCTCCATTCCAATCCTCCTTAGAGAGTGCTAGCGCACTCTGTGAGATATGTAAGACATTTGTGTACCATTCCCCCAAACTGTGTATATGTTGTGTTAGAGAAGATTTAGTTGTTTTTTGGTTTTGTGTGTGTGTGTGTGTGTGTAATTACGTGGCGCCATCTATGGATGAAGTTAACGTGAATTTACGTCAAAGATAATAAATGCTCAATAACAGTAATAATGGGAGTGTAGGGGTTGTTAATTCCATTAATAAGTCCCTTGTTCCAAACTATCATCCCACAAAGTTTGGTTGAGATTGAAGTAGTTAGATAACGGACAAACAGACAGTCATAAAATTTTGTACTTTATATATATATACACCTGGAAAAAATTTAACATAGCCTTATAACCCAATTTATATTTTCAAATATATTAGCAAGGACATATTTGAATAAGTTGATTTAGAAAACTTGGAATGTCAGAACTGCACATTACAGGTTTTGAGGAAACGTGTATTTGTTTGTGTGTGTGTTTTTTTATGGCAAAGCTATTAAAGTTATCTACAGATTGCGAGTTGAGTGCCTAACCACCTATGAAAGTAATTAGGGGTTTACTCAAGTTAAGCCCCCCAGTGGCACAGCGGTAAGTCTGCGGACTTACAACGCTAGAAACTGGGTTTCGATACCCGTGGTGGTCAGACCACAGATAGCCCAATGTGTAGCTTTGTGCATAATTAAGAACAAACAAACAAAC